CATTAAAACTTGAAGTTCAGGGAGAATTTTTTTCTTTAAACATTTCATAAACATCATAACAATTTTCTATGAAATCTCTTTATTGTGTTGAATTTTTCTCAAAATTTTCTAGATGTTGTCTATAATCTGAATATCCAGTAAAATGAAGATTCTGTACAGAAAACTGAGAAAATAAGTTTTCTACTCAGTTATCCACAGCTTTCAAGTGTTCTATACTCATCCCTTTGCATACCAATCATGTCTGTTTTTAGATCTATCTTCTTTCATGTTTTGCCCTTATTTCCATTCTGCTAAATAAAATGTTCTCCAGAGCTTAGTTCAGCAGGGCTGGATCGCAGAAATTCTTACCAAAACATGGGGTTGATTTGCCTCTCTGTCTTCAGACAGAGAATTGTCCCCATCCACCAAATCCACTTAGGTATTTCTCTTTCAAATTTTGTGATTAATTATGAAGCTTTAGAAACATGTTTCTGCAAAGCAATAATAACGGTCATTACTTCATCACTGGTAACTACAGATTTCACTCCAGGCACCATGATTTTTTAAAGCATTACTATTTTAGTGCAATCTCCCATTTTTAGTTAGAGAAAAACAAATCACTGCAAAGAGAACACCAACCGATCTTTTAGAGAAATGTCTCCAAACATATAAAAGAGAGTATTTGAAGGGCCAGTTATTTGCACGTTGAGGGATTTTCAGTAGCAAGCAAGGAAAGCCATTGGTGGAGAAGGTACTTAATTGAAATCCTTTGCATGAAACAAGGGAGAAGTAAAAATTTCAGGAAGTTCATTTGATGCTTAGAGAATGATACTTAGGGGGTATATAAAACTGAAACAATACCTAACAACAGAGCCAATTTATTCTCTCCTCAATTGATGCCAAAGAGAAAAAAAGAAAAAGAATGGGAGACAGACATAAATTTAAACAAGAGTGGAATCTTGAAGGAATGACTGAATTGGTACCATCCTTTTTTAGTCCATTTAGGATATTTTATAGGCCTAACATCGCTAGCTAGCAGAAGTAAGAATATGGAAAGCCCTGTTGCTATGGAGAAGATTTGGGCAGGCTGTTGCCATCTGAAAATCAGAGCCAAAAGAAAACAAAAACAAAACTCATTTCTGCCATTAAAACTGCAGACTATCATTGTCACTTTCTCCTCAAATGCTGCATAATTCTACTACCTCTGCTATAATTTCTTTTCCTAATCTAGATCTATTTTGTATGCTTTTGAAAGCTGTTACAGCATTGTTATTCAAATTAAAACATGTGTTGTGAGTGAACTAGAGGATTTTGTAAGCATATCATTTTGAAATTTCCAATTGACCTTCCCAGCCCTCTTGCATTAAATGACATAAAACAGATTATGCAGACCATGTCCTCTGCAAGTTCTGTCCCTCAGAGTAAGAAAAGTGTTTTCTTAAGATTGCTAAACGTTAAATAACAATCACCTAAAAGATAAAGTTCTCATCTAATCACAGAATATCAGAACTGGGAGCAACTTTAGACATTGTCTGGTCTATTCCATGCAATTACATCTCCCTGAAACCTTTTCTGACCCATGAGAGGTAAATAGATTTTTATTTCTAGGAGACCTCACCATTCTTTAATGCTGCTCCTGCAGCATTATTACTTGTGCTATCCTTTGTATTTTGGAGTGAACAGCTCAGGTTCTTGAAACTCAAAACTTTTTTCTTAAAAAAAAAAAATCACTACTTGAGTTTCAAAACACTGTTTAGAAATCCTAAAGCGAAGAATGCCTTGGCATATATTAGGACTTCACAGCTTTGGCACTATTGACATTTTAGATGGGAAATTCTGTGTGATGAGGGGGGCTGTCCTAGGTGCTATAGGACATTGAGCAACATCCCCGGCAAGTATCCTCCCCACCCCTGCAAGTGTGACAACCAAAACGTCTCTTGGCATTGCCGGATTTCCTTGGGGGAGGGAAGGGGAAGAGGGGAGGGATGGGGGCAGGTCGCTCCTGGTTTAGGACTATTGATGTATATGGTCTGTACAAAACAAATGATAAATAAAATGTTTCATGATTTAGAAGTCAGTTCTCTCTTCACCGTACACAACCTCTCCCAACACTGAAGGTCATCGTTTTGTAAAAGTCTTTGCCAATTAAGTGGCAACTGTTGTGATAAAACTGAATCAGAATGCTCTTCAGGGTCCCCATGCCATATTTACAAAAACAATAGAAAGAGGAGAAACACGCCAGTCTGGGGTTATAGGAGGGGGTGTTGTAAAGAATGAGGAAGTCTGACTTCAGTCTGTCGTCCCAAAGTGAGAGTAAATTGGCTTCAGCAACATCTGCTTAATCCCAGAGTTGAGTTGGGGATGTGACATGGTTTTCTTCTTCGTGGCTTCACGTTCATTTGTCCCCAAGCTTAGATGGTCAGTTGAAGAGTCTACCTCACACATAGTAGTTACTCAACAAGTATTTGTTGAACGATTTTATGAATTGTGTTTTACCTTTGCCTCTTGGATTAGACAATCAGGTACTACAGTCTGTGCTGGAACTAAAAATATCCTCCTTCAAATCAGTTGAAGGATATAAGATCTCCGAGAAACTCTCAAAGATTCTTTTATTCCTTACTCCACACCCCGAAGTTTAAAAAAAAAAAAAAGTGTGTGTGTGTGTGTGTATTGTGTGGGTGCCTGCAGCTGTACAGCACAGAAGCAATCAAAGATCCATAGAACATACTCTGTCAGACCTGGGGACTCAAAGAAGAAAAAGAATTTAACACAATTAAATTCTGTTCTACCTGCTGTTCTCGCCTTGCTTTTAGACAAAAGGGCTGTGTTAACACACAATTTGTGTCTAGGCTGTTGTGTTAAATAGACAATTTCTTTAGTCCACACAACCATCCCTTCAGCTGGGTATTATCACCTCTGTCACATAGATGCTAAGAAATAAGTTGCTCAAAGTGAGACAGCTGCTACAGTGGGGAGCAGAAGTTCAAATCAAGCGCTAGCCAAGCCATTAGCTGTCTAAGTCCAGTTTACAAGCCTCCTCTGATCACTTGGCCTATGTGCCCAGGCCTCAGTTGATTCTTGAATGGAGAGGCCTGTGCTCCAGTGCCCTGCCTGTCACGGTGTCTCCTAACTTTGCTGCCGGCCCCAGCCAGCCTCTTCAGGGAGGAGGTCTGGGCTCATCATCCCCGCCACGGTGGGAGTCACTGCAGAGCCAGCACCCTGACCCACCCAGACCAGACCACAGAGGCATTGGCTCCTCTCAGCATTTCTGGATTCAGATGCTGTGTTGCCCCCTGGGGCTGCCCAGAGAGGCTAGGCAGCACAGGCAAGAAGTAGAGACTTGTGTCCCCGTGGGGAAGATGTGGACAGTGAAAGACAGGCAATTGAAAGGCTCCAGCAGATGAACTTCTCTCCTTCCTCCCCTTGCCAGGCTCTTCTGAGATACAGCAGTTCCATTTAGCCTTTCTGGAGACTGAGCTGCCAGCTGTGTTTTCTTGCGAAGCTGGGGCCCAGCTGAGGGCCCCTTCTTTGCTTCACCTCCCTTTTCTCCTCACACTTACCGCCCTGGAGTTGCACGCGTGTGCGCATACACACACACACACACACACACACACACACCAGTGAAATGTTAACTTGCAAGTGCTACCTTAGTCTCCATTTTCTGAGGCACCCTGGCTAAAACATAAGCTTATGTTCTTTATTTACGAAATGACAATGCTTCCACCAGTCCTTGAAAAATCTAAGAAAAAATAAAAATAATACCCCTGTTAGTAGATATTACCTCATACTGATAAGAGCTAGCAAATATCTTGAAAGAAATAAACAGCCACAGTATATGGGCATGAAAGCAGTACACTGAAATGGCACTAAATGTACCTTTGGGGCTACCTTGTATCTGCTGCACCTGCTTTTCTCTCCTTGCTTTTAGATAAAAGGGCTATGTTAACACTTCCTGGAGCAGAAGGGCTGTACAAGGGTACTTTGAAAACTTCATGGAAAGATTCATATTATCTTTTAATTATATTTTTCCACAAACTTTTTGAAGTACCCTCGCATTTTTCTTACTGTTGTGATCACATGCCGTCTGGTAGGATGGCAAGTGTCAATCAGTCCAGTTCAAGTTCCACCTTTTCTGCTTATTAGCTGTGTGACTTGAGAAAGTCATAATACCTCGGGTTAGATATTTCCTCACCTTAAGTTAGAAATAAGACTATCTGCCTCACCTTTCCCTTGAGTCTATGTGACTGCTTTATCTGTGTGAAGAGAGGTAAGGAAATAACTTTCTAACTTAGGTTCCCCAAATTTTCCTCACTACAAATAATACAACACTTCAGTAGGAAAATACCAAGGAATAAATCACTGAAGTCTTCTGAAATACTTGTATCTTCAAGATAATAATTAAGATTAGAAGCTAAAGGGTTAAGACTTCCAATCCTCACCAAGACAGAATAAAAGAGACTAGATTTTCCCTGCCACATGAAACAATTTTTAAAAATCTATTTAAAAAAAATTTTTCAAGGATGTTTCATGGATGTCAATGAAGTGATCGCTGAGAGAAAAAACAAATGCAGTGAGCCCTGTGATTGCCTCAGCTGGCTGCCCAGAGAGTTTCCAGGCTACAGTGCAGGGGAAAGGAAACTCTGCAGAGGCTGGTACACCCCATGAGGAGATGGAGCTGAGAGGCCAAGAAACCAAGGTGACAAGAGATTGTGTGACAAAAGTCTCAGAAATGAGAGAGTTGCACAGAGAACTCTGGAGATATTCCAAGGGCCCCCTCCAGTATTCAGCAGGATCCTAATTAGTGCATGTATGTGAAGAAATTACCCTAATAGCCTTCTCGGTTTGGTATGAGGCCTGGACTTAAAATCCCTCTAAGTGTCTGACTGAAGACTCAAATGCTTTAATTCCTGTTGTCCTGCTTCAATAGCGATACAGTTGTGTGATGCATGCTCATTATACATTGGAATTAACTAATTTATGTATTCTCATGTTCCAAACTTGCCTGTCCTGATTTCCCCCAGTTTGATGCCGACCGAGATGAGGATGAGGTGTTCTATGACATCAGCGTGGCAGTTGACAGCAAATTATTTCCAAACAAAGAGGCTGCAGCAGGTAAGTCGCTGTGTCCTTTGGGCAACAGTATACCATGTTCACCTGCCAATGTCTGGGGCTTTGTATTAATGGGGGAAGCCCAACAAACTGCGGTACATCTTGAGGAAGACACTGGCCTCAGAGCCTCCTACTTTCTGGTTGAAAAATAAAGCTACAAAACAAAATAGAAAGAAAGGGCTATAAACCCATCCCTTGTAGTTATAGCTTCTCTTCCTGTCACTGCACATGTAAATTAGCAGGTAGTCACAATGTAACACACAACCTATGTTACTATGATAGCAAAAAATCTAACCTAATCCTTACTTTGTGCAACAGTTAAAAGTTACAGTTCCTCCAGAACCCCCTAACTCATACAGGTTTCTGCTGTGCTGCCTGGAAAAAGCATCCCCTCCAATCTGGTAGCCACTCCCATCCCAACCCACAGCTCCTCTCGTAACCCTGCCCCTTCTCTTCCTGTGTGCTTTGGCCTGCAGGTTTGCCCTGGGACACTTGTGCAGAGTAATCTTACCCCTGAGGTAGGCAGTTCTCACGCTTCTGTCTTTAACCCTCCTCTCCTTCTCTCATTACTCTCTTTGACTCCGGATCAATTCATTTTCCTGCATGGTATCAGTTCTACAAGAATGACTCTCAAATCTTGGTTTCAGTCCTGACCTTTCTTCTGAGTTATGGCCTCAGAGGGTAAAGACCAAAAGCTCTGGACTATAAAGAAAAGGCTGAGCACTTAAAATTTTAAACCACTGTTTGAAGACACCTAAGAGTAGCTGTAAGAAAAGCAAGGTGGTTGTCTTTCTGCACAAATAACTGATGTAAACTCATCTGCCTGATTTTCCAGTGATATTTATAAAAAGCTGGCCTATTGCAGGAAAGATGGGATGTTGAGAACTGTGTAAGATCATATAAACAAGACAGCTGCTGCTCTGAAAAATGCTAGGACTCCTATGCTTTTTAAGTTAGTATTTTTATCTAGAACATGCTTTAAAAATATCTACCTCTAACAACAAATATTTAACTGCTAAATATCCTTGGCTTGCTAATACAGTGGAGTGGAGAGGCTGATCTAAGCTACCCCTTCTTTGAAACACCCCAGCACTTTGTGGCTTGCTGGTGGCATTTCTTCAAGGTAGCCTTGTCCTGCAGTTATGCAACTGTGCTGGCTTCTGTGCTAATGGGTAAGCTGTCTGAGGATAGGTGCTATGTCCTGATTTTCTTGAAGTCCCCTTGGTATAGTGCACAGTGCCTGGTCCATAGCAGTGGTTTCCAGGTGTCTGCTCTTTCCTCTCTATACCTCCAAGCTCGTGAACACAGGAGTCTGTGCTTACAGCCTCGACTTCTGCTAGCTCCCTTCCACTCCTAAGACCCCTGAAAGCTGGGTTCTGCTCCAGCCTTAAAGTAAGCCTGTTCTATCTGTAACAGCCCTCCATGAGTGAAGTGAGACTGGGAGGGACTATGGTAAACTAGAAATAAATGATGCCAACCCTACAAGAGGCAGCAACTATGCAGCTCAAGGCTGCTGTTGCCATTAAGGAATGGGCCAGTGTTACTGGGTTCTCCTCTCTTCAGAGAGAAAACAGAAACCTGCATTTGTAGGTGAAATCTCCTGGCTTTTAAATGTTGTGACTCCCCCAATAAACAAATCATGTCCGTGTCCTCTGCTCTGTGAATTGTCAGCCTCCAGGTTTTGTCCCTCCATTCTTTCCTTCTCTCTGAACTCTCTCTCTCTGCAGAATCTTAGCTGCCCCACAGCTCCCGTATCATCTCCGTATGAATAGCTTTTAGTTCTCTTTCTCTCACCTTGACCTTTCTCCAGAGAGCCAGACAAAAATGTTCTTGCCCTCGCGCTCCACACCAATCATCATTCCTCAGGGACACCTTGGGAATCCAAACCTTCTTCTCCATTCCCACTGCACACATCAAAGGCTTTGTCATTACTCACCCCTTGGCTTGCCTGTCTGTCTTAAATCTTGTTGCCGCCGTGGGCTTGCTCAGAATGCAGCTCTAATCATTCCGCCTCCCTGAAAAAAAAGAAAAAGCAAACCCAAACCTTCAATGACTTTCCTGCAGGCTGAGCACCAATGTCCTCCACATAGCAGAGAGCCCCAATTCCTCAGCTTTCCTGCAGTGGTCCTGTCACTGCAACAGCATCACCTCCCCGCTTACCCACAACAGCTTCCTCAAGTACCTTACTGCCTCTGTCTGTTTGCACCTGCTCCTCCTTTTTGCTTAGAACACCTGTCCCACTTACATCCCTCCACTCTCCCAACTCCACAGGCCCATCCTTCACCTGACCAGATCTGACTTTGTGCCTCAGTGTAAATGTGAGTTCCTCAAGGAGGCTTTCTCAGACCCCACCCCAGACTAGAGTAGGTCCCTGTGTAGTACTTTTCCTTCAGGGTATTTACCACCACTGTGATTATGTAGATAGATATATGATTGTCTGTTAAAACTCTATTTCCCTTATTGGAACACAAGATTCCATGAGGGCAGAGAGAGAGAGAGAGAGAGTGTGTGTTTGCTCCCAGTGTAAATCTCATAGGTGATGACATGTAAGGCCTTTCTTTTCCAGCTGGCCACCTCGGCTGGGCCATGTCTAAGTACACGACACACAGCACACCAGATCTTTGGCTGCAGAGTAGTGTATTTGCTTGCCTCCAGGCCTTTTCCTACTGACTGCGTTGCCCTGAACCTCTGCACCCTTCCAGCTCCACTGCAGTGTCTCCTCCTCTGTGGAGCCCTCTGCTGATACTTCCAGCAGAGCCGTCTGACTACATCACTCACTTTCTCTGGGCCTCTGTTTCTTCATCTATAAAGAGGGGAAAATAATAGTACCTACCTCTTAGGATTGTCCTGAAGAATAAATGCGTATGTGTGTAAATTTGTGGCTGTCACATTGACAAGGCTATAAATGAGTTAGTATCTCTCCTGAAGATTTGAGGGCTTGCAAGGAGAGGCCACAACATACACAACACAACTTCACCCCTTCTCCTAGGTCTACCTCTATTCTCTTCACCCTCTCTCTCTTCCTCCTTCCCGCAACCCTGTCCTGGAGTAATTGAAAAATCCCCCCCATCCCCTTCTCACCCAGAACAGTCCACCAACACCCAGATCCCACCCAATGGAGAATTGGGTGTTGGTAGACTGTAGCAGGAATTGTTACTTTTAATTGTTGCACAAAGTATGGATTAGGTTAGATTTTTTTCTACTCCGAAATACTGTTAGGATGTTTTTCCAAATAAATAGTGCTCTTTCTCAAAGGATTCTGATGCAAACTGTTACTATCACCTTTCATGCCTGTTGGTATTAGAGCTGGATTCTCAGTGCCTAATGCAGGTCTCGTACTTACAGGAGGTATTTAATGTTTGCAGAGCGAATAAATGAGAGCAAGACCTATACAGATGAAATGTAAATATCCTTTTATTCATTTCCAGTCATTCAGCATATGTGTATTGCATGCGTATAATTTCTAAGTTTTGTTCTTAGATTCAGAGATGAAGCCCAACCCTACCCTCATAGGGTAGCTGGCAGTTTAACGGAAGAGCCAGGACAAGAGACTACTTTCCTTAGAGGGGGAAGATAAAGTGTTTAAGGAGTTTAGTGACAGAAGCCCTTAGCTGCTCAAGAAGCCCTGTAATTGTCGGAGTATCTCTTTATTTGGTACTCAAAGTGGGAGGAAGATCTTCCTAAAACTTTAGAGTGAAGATCCACAAGAGGAAAAAAGTCTGTAATATTGTCCCAGAGAGCAATATGATTAGCCTGCGGTATTTCTAAAGCCAATTTGTCTCATCTTCCCACTTAAATTTAAGGAGACAACCTGGATATCTTATTTCTGAAGATCCTTCTACATCTAAAACTAGTGAAACTGAGTGCTCCCTGTGGGGTTCTGTATTTCAGTTTATACCTTTTTCTGTTATCTATTGAAAGGATATTTTTAAATCTGTGAAGAAATCGAGAAATTCAAAATAAGGGGAGACGAAAGCCACACTATCACTTTTTCAAAATGCCCTAATTTTGCTGTCTTTTTTGAGTAACAGGATTATTTCAGTTGCTTTATGTGTCAAATTGTCCAAAGGAAGAAGGCAAAAATGTGTTCATAGTCTAAATTTACCTCCCTACTTCATATGTCAAACCTTGGACTATTATTACAGATCCCATTTTCAGTAAACCAAGCAACCAATGCTAAAAGAAAACGAAAGCTATTCAATCATTATCTAAGTTGATAATGATATCTTTTGCCCATTGCCTTCTATGATATATTAATACTGTTGCCAGGGGCAACGATGTGTCAAGAAATTCCATCCCTTAATGATACAATAAAATTTGTTAAAAACATTTTATTAGAAAAGCCAGTTTCTCCTTCCTTATAAGCACAAGGTTATTTTGTAGACAAAGATCTTTTCATTTCAATCTACCATTGCAGAAGATAGTTTTCTAATAATCTTGCTCCAGTTTCAAATATTAATGTGTAATATCTGCTAACTGGGTTGTTTAACAGCTCTTCACGTTGTACTTTTTGCAAACAACCAAGAGAACTGTTTCTAATTAAATAAAATAAGTAGGACACAGGAACTAAAAGCCGCTGTATGTTTCATAAGATTTCATGTTCAGATCACATTGCTCACTCCACATGAGTCACTCTAACTGCAGCTGAGGTGAGCATGTCATTTGAACCCAAGTACCTAGCACCACTTCCACTAGTCAGTGGTAGATAATATCCACATTGTGGAACTAGTGAAAGCCGAATAAAATTTGTGTTACCTTTAGTGATGCGGCCACCTAGAAAGGAGCATTGATTGTCACCGGCTTGAATGAGACTCCTTAATTCCACTTGTGATTCTTCCATTCCTGCAGCCAGCCCATGACCTGCCTCATCATCAGCCATTCACTATTCCTCATTTTCCCAGAATGTAGAATCGGCAGCGTACTCCTCCAGGTCCTCTACCGTAGAGTGCTGTAGTGAGAGATAGTATTTATAAAGCTGTTTGGTTTGATCCTACTTAGAATTT